AATACGGGGCGTTACATCTCTGTCCATGTCGTGGCAGCTGCGCGACGCGATGTGTGCGTGGAGCTCGGACTGCCGCGACACAGTGACTGGACAGCTCGGGTCTAAATGCATTACTTCGCGTATTAAATCCGTTCGAGCTCGTCCGACCTCCGAATTTCGTTTTGTTTTCTCTAATGTGTTGCCAACGAGACACTCTATCTAAATGTGTTCACCCGGTCTATTTATCATGGAAAACAAATCTCCCCGAGTCTCCTATCATGCACACCAACGACGACAAACAACCAGAAAACGACCGAAAAATACCAAAAAAAAAAAAAAAACCAAAATAGAGAGAAACACGCAATAAACGACAAACTAACAAAAAACTAAGAAAAAGACCTAATATGGGAGAAAGGAAAAAAAAATAACAAGAAAAAACACAACAAAAATGGGACAAACACAAACGGCCAATATAAAACATTAGTCAAATCAACTATTATAATTTATTGTCTGTTGTCCGCTAATACTATTCAGTACCTCTATCATCTAATAGACCAAAAAGGCCCAAAATCCATGTTAATCAACAATAAAATTTAAATTGTATTTGTCTAAAGAAAAATCCCAAAATGAATCCTATTTTAGGACAAAGAATCATACAAAATTCTATACTTTATTGTGCATGAATGCATGAAATCACAATTATATTATATAACAAGAACTAGTACGTATTCTGTGCATTGCATGGGCAATAATTATAAATTGTATTTATTAATTCAATGAAATATTGATTAGTATAAAAAATGTTTTGAATAATAATATTAATATTTTTTCTTTTATTTTATGATATATAATAATTTAATATATGATTTATAAATAGTTGTCATTTTAGAGTTTCTGGTTATAATTAAGGATGACGAAAGTTTAATATTCAAACATTATCAATAATAACTATCTCTTTCTTTTCATATACCTTATTATAATATATTATGTCGACCTCTATATAAGTTATGCTAAAGCTGAAAAATTTGTGTCAATAATTATAACCAACACTTAAGTAAAATTTGATGTAACATGTATTATTTTGAAGTTAATTATTAATTGTTAATTACGTCAATATTATTTTACTATTTTGAATTTTCTTTCTATTCTATTATTTTATATGAAATCTGTTATGATATTGTGAATCACGATATGAATTTTTAAAAAACTGGTTCAGTGCAGTTATTGATAAAATCAAAGGATATTTTTTAACTCTTTGAATAGATAATTTTTTGTATATGACTTATTATCTGAATGATCATATGGATTTGTTATTAATTTTGAGATATAAATTCTATTTCAATATTGTGTTAGTTATATTAATAAGATTTTTGCAGTTGATTTTTTAAATTAATTTTGTACTTATATTTTGCAATCTTCTCACTCATATTTCGGTCTACATATGGTTGGATGCCCAACAAAACATGAGAACGTATGCTTTGTTAATAAGAATAATGATTGGTTTGTTATTAAAGATAAATAGTTAAAGTATTTTTTATATTTTGAAAAATTTCATTTAACAACTTTTAAAAAACTGACTCGGTTGTGTTATTGATAAATCAATTGATTCTAAACTAATCCTCTTGATTAAATGATTTTTTGAAGATACAATAAATATATTTTGGTATATGGTTGGTTACCAAATGAATAACAAATCAACATGATTTGTTATTATGATTATGCTATATGTACCCCTTGGTGTACCACTTGGTTTACATCCAAGGGGTACATGTATCCATTTACCCTTAATGAATAATTTACTAAATTATTCATTAAAATTTTAATAGATTTTTTTTAGGACATGTAGTTTGATTAGTTACCAAAAGAATGAGAAATTCCATTGATTCGTAATTAATACAAAGAATTAGATTTTTATTGTGATAATTATCATAAAATAATTTTTAAATTGATACAACTTCATTTATATAGAAATTCGTTGAGTTATGTACTAACCGAATTACGCGATTTAGAAAAAGTTAGTATAATTTGATTTTAATTTTTTATTTATAAATATTAAAGTAATTTTTACTATATTTCATTTAATAGTAAGCCAAACTATTTAATTACAAAGTCAAAATTATTATCTTAGGTTATTCCATCAACCTCTTTCAATGTACTAGTGCATAGCTTATGTGATGCACGAATCAATAATTATAAAATGCTTGTATTAAAGCAATGAAATATTGATTAGTATAAAAATAGTTTTGAATATTAATATTGATTTATTTATTTTATTTTGATATAAAATAAATTAATCTAATTTAATAGTTTTATAAAAAACAAATCACGAAAATAATAAACAAGACATTAATTATAATCGAATAAATTTAAGACCTCGTCAATTTCATAAAGGGAAACAATAGAAGCCACCGCTATATTACCAGAAGCAAGTTCATCAATTTCATCATGTGCCACAATTGCACTTCTCGAAATCAAAGCAGCATTACGAACACGGGCAGTTGCAAGTCTATAATCATATAAAATTATATATTATAAATCATAATTCAAATTCTAATAATAAAAAATGAAACATACAAAAAACTGTAAATTACAAACCTCCTTCTAAATTCTTCAATCTCGGGAATAGTGATTAACTAGTACAACGACCGTGTATTACACGAGTGCTTGCTAATTTTCTTCTTAAAATCTAAAATTAATGAGAAAAAATAGTTGAAAACTTTAATACCTTTTATAAAAACATATATTATTATATATCTAGTATGACACTTTTTATTTGTGCGACATACTTGTGTTATATTATAATAATTTTTTTAACTTACAACATATAACTACATTAAACATAAATATATCAATTGAGAAATAATTTTATTTTTCTAATGAATTTTAATAAATAGTATTATTTTTTATTATTATAAAGATAAATATATTTATTTATTTCATATATACAATATGGATGTCAAATCGAAGATCATCAAAAGATGATTAATTTGATATATTGTATTGATTATGCTATATGTACCCCTTGGTGTACCACTTGGTTTACATCCAAGGGGTACATGTATCCATTTACCTTTAATAAATAATTTACTAAATTATTTATTAAAGGTAAATGGATACATGTACCCCTTGGATGTAAACCAAGTGGTACACCAAGGGGTACAAGTAGCATTATTCTTTCAAGAAAGCATCAACATATTCGTTCCGTAAAGTGCAACTAATTTTGTTCTCCTTTTAAAATAATTAACAAATTGAATTAATTAAGCAAGGATATGAGTAAATATGATCAATAACAAAATAATATCAAAAAATTAAATTACAGTCCACTTATTCCAAATCCATTAGATGGAAAATAATCATTCGGGTGGGCAATTCTTTTTTTTTTTTTTTTTT